GTTACTATGGGAGGCAAGGGTATAAATAGCGGAGGCTTTGGCTACAATTTTTCAATCTTCGTTGGACACAGGAGTGGTGCCAGAGGACTGGAGAGTGGCCAATGTGACTCCCCTGTACAAAAAGGGACAGAAGGATAAACCTGGGAACTACAGGCCAGTCAGCCTAACATCAGTAGTGGGGAAACTCCTGGAGACTATAATCCGGGACAGAATAAATCTTCACTTAGAAGAATATGGGTTAATTAGGGACAGCCAACATGGATTTGTTAAAGGCAAATCTTGTCTAACAAATCTAATAGAATTTTTCGATGAGGTAACGGAGAGGGTGGATAAAGGTAGTGCAGTTGATGTAGTTTATATGGACTTTCAAAAGGCATTTGACAAAGTGCCACATGAAAGTCTTGTAAGAAAGATAGAAGCCCATGGTATAAAAGGGACAGTGGCAGCATGGATCCAGAACGGGCTGGGAGACAGAAAGCAGAGAGTTGTGGTGAACGGCTGTTACAGGGATCGGTACTAGGACCACTGCTCTTCTTAATATACATAAATGAACTGGACTTGGGTATAGCAAGTACCATTTCCAAGTTTGCGGATGACACAAAGTTAGGTTGGGTAGTAAACAGTGAGAAGGATAGGAACCAACTGCAGGAAGACATAGACAGAATGGTAAAATGGGCAGACACATGGCAGATGAGTTTCAATGTGGAGAAATGCGAGGTAATGCATTTTGGTAGAAAGAATGAGGGGAGGCAATACAGGCTGGTAATACAATCTTAAGAGGGGTAAAAGAACAGAGAGACCTAGGGGTGCAGGTAAATGAATCCTTGAAGGTGGCAGGACAGGTAGATAAAGCTGAAAAAGAGCATATGGGATACTAGGCTTTATAAATAGGGGCATAGAGTACAAGAGTCAGGAGGTTATGATTAACCCATATAAAACACTGGTTAGGCCTCAGTTAGAATACTGCACCCAGTTCTGGGCACCACACTATAGGAAGGATGTTAAGGCCTTGGAAAGGGTGGAGAGGAGATTTACGAGGATGGTACCAAGAATGAGGGACCTTGATTATGAGGAAAGGCTAGAGAGGCCGGGATTATTCTCATTGGAGCAGAGAAGGTTACGAGGAGAACTAATAGAGGTCTTCAAAATCATGAGGGGATTTAATAGTTTAGAAAGGGAAAGACTGTTTCCACTGGTGGGTGTGTCGGTGACTCGAGGTCACAGATTCAAAATAGTCTCTAAAAGAAGCAGAGGGGAGGTGAGAAGAGATTTTTTCACGCAGTGAGTTGTTCGAATCTGGAACACATTGCCTGAAAGGGTGGTCGAGGCCGATTCAATAACTACTTTTAAAAACGCGGTGGACAGGTATTTGAGGAGGACGGGTTTGCAGGGTTATGGGGAAAGGGCTGGGGAGTGGGATTGACATTAATTGCTCTATTCAAAGAGCCGGCACAAACTCGATGGGCTGAATGGCCTCTTTTTGTGCTGTACGATTGTATGATTCTACGATTCTATGGTCAGAGAGGAAATGGAAGATTACCTATATAAGAATAATCTAATAATTGACACAAGTTTAGAATGGGTAGGTCTTGTATCTCATAGACTTTTTTGAGAAGGTGACAGCTCAAATTGACTGTGGGTAGACATGTAATGCAGTATATCTAGACTTCAAAAAAGTGTTTGAGAAAGTACCACATAAAAGACTCCTTCACAAACGGGCCACTGGGTCATAAGCGTAAGGTATGGACTTGGATTCAGAATTGGCTGAAGGGAAGGAAGCAGAGGGTCTTTGTTTGGGGGTTAGGTCACAATAGGGAAAAGTTCCTCAAGGGTCTGTACTAGGACACCTCCTGTTCCTTGTAAATATTAATGACTTGGATTCGTAGATCCAGTGTAAAATGGTGAAAATTGCAGATGACTATTTGTGGGGAACTATGGAATCAGAGCATAGGCAGCAAAGGTCCTACAAGGAGAGTTTGATAGGATATGCACATGGACCAATAACTGGCAATTTAAATTCAATACTGATAAATATAAGGGATTAGATATAGGATCCAAGAATAAAAAATACAAGTACGTCATGAATGGGATTGAACTTTCCAGGAAGCTGAAAGAGATCTAGGAGTGTTAGTTGACTCATCGCTCACTATGTCAAAATAACGTAAGGCAGCAATAAACAAGTTAAACAGGATGTTGGGTTATATTGCTAAATCAGCTGAGTTTAAATGCCCAGACGTCATTCACATGTTAGACAGTGATCTGATCAGACCGCACCTTGAATGCTGCATACAGTTCTGGTCACCGCAACATAAGATCCTAGAGGCAGTGCAGAGGAGAGTAACAATTGGTAGAGGACTGAGCTATGAGCAACGACTAAGCAAGCTAGGGCTCTTGAGAGAAGATGACTTTTATAGAGGTGTACAACATTTTAAATGGAATTAAAATACTAAACCCAGATCAATATTTTAGTATGCATCCTGCCCGTAGAAATAGAAGATATAGGTTTAGAATTCTAAAGGGCAATTTCAAAACAGATACCAGGAAGTTTTTCTTTACGCGGAGGGTAATCAATGACTGGAACAGTTGCCAGGAAAAAAAAATGCTTGATGCGGTGACGGGGGGGGACAGTAGGGTGGGTGTTCTGGAGGTATGAGATCAAAGCGGCTTCTTCATCCAGATCTTGTGATGAAGAAAGTTGGTTCCTTGTCCTTAATTTCAGAGAGCTTTTGTGCAGTTCAGTATTTAACTGATAATACGTGGTTTAACATCTCAATTCAAAAATGCAATAGCACCACTTGCAATCTTTGCCCACTCTTCTCCCCTGCTTGCCCCCAAACCTCAGCTAACTCAGACTTGATGCATGCCCGAGCCATCATCAGTGGCCAAACCTTCACACCCCCAGCCTCTGGAATTTCTTTCCTCTACAACTCCGTCTTATCTCCTCTCTTTTTTCGAGTCAAAAAATCCTTCTTTTTCTACGAACAAGCCTATGGGCACTTTTCCCTCCCCCTACTCTCCCTTGCTCGGTGACCAAACCTATCCCTGCAAAGTGCTTTGAGAAATTACCCTACCTGAATGGCGCTAATATAAACAAAATTGTTGCATCAATTTGTCGCTACCATAGTAAGTGCTGCATTGGATTTCCAATGGTAGATTGTGAACCCAGGTCAGAACATAGATCTCAAATACCTTCTTTTCAAGCCCAAGAGGAGCAAGTGCCAGTATTCAAGCAAAGCAAACTCTAATTAACTAAACAAAATGACCATTTTTATATCGCAATTTGTTCGTTACAGAAGTCATAGCAATTTTATAGAGCAATTGCCAGTCTCACTCATTCATAGTGGAGTCCTGTAGCTCAGTGGTTAGAGCACTCGCTTTGCAAGTGAGAGACCTGAGTTCAATTCCAGGCAGAGGGCGAAACCTTGGGCAAGTTTCCTTACTCCACACAGAGCCTAATAATAATCCCTCCAAAACAAAAACAATAATAAATTGGTCATTTTTAATCTATGACTGCTTGTGGGACATTGCTGTGCGCAATTGGCTGCCGCGTTCGCCCAAAAATATACAGTCAATTCACTTTACAGTGTGTTTTGTGAAGCGCTTTGGGACGTCCTCCCGACGTGAAAAGCGCTATATCAAATGCAAGGATTATTATTATAATATGGGTAAAACTGGCTTCATTAGCAACTGCAGATCACCGACCACAGATTTACTGGCTGCAATGTGTGGTGACAGCAAAGTTCATTAATATGGTAAAAACCAACCATCAAATTAAAGGGTTGAAATTAAATCAATAAATTGACAGTTTACTATCTACTGAGAAGTTAGTTTCTCCTGGTGTCCTAGCCAACAATCTCCCAATTAAAATTAACCATAGATCATTGGTCATTGACTTCATAGCTGTTCGTGGGATATTGCTGTTTGCAAATTGCCTGCTGCATTCACCTATACAAATACAGTCATAGTACTTTACAATGAAGCAATGTGAATCTCTTCGAAATGTCCTTCTGATATGAAATGGCACAATATGAAATGCAAGGGTTACTTTTTAACTTGACATTGTGCTAACTCTGTCCCCCCCCACCCCCCCCCCCCACTTCACAGCCAGATTGTTTTGTATTTCTAACTTTGCGACATAGAAGATACCTTCTTCTATCGCATTACTGAGACATCTCAAAGTGCTTCACAGAATGTACTGTAAAGTGAATTGACTGTATACATTGTGGGCAAAATGCAGCAGCCAATTGCGCACAGTAGTGTCCCACAAACAGTCATGTATTGAATGATCAAAAAAAAATCAAATGCTACATTTGCTCAAGACTTTCTGCTTACATTGACTCTCACTATATTTGCAAAAAATCACTTTGAGTGAATTGTATGCACATGTTTCTAATCCACATTGACCTTCTATAACTGTGTAATATGTTTCAGTGTCACAATGTACCTAACCATAAAAAATAAGACTGATACATTTCATGTAACAATATTTCAGTTTATTCAAACCAAAATAAAAATGCTGAAAGGTTCCAATTTTAAAATATAAAGTCACTGAAAATAGATCATATTATCGCATCCAATTTTTCCCTAGCAAATAATTAACATTTTTTATCAACAGATTGACAATTTTGCTATAGCTCTCCAGGTGCACAAGTGATAATAGTAAGATTAAAAAAAACTCAGCAAAACGGTAAAGTGCTGTAATCCAAAAGAGTTAACTCACATAATTGATTTGAAACACAACCAGAAACAGAATAGCACAGGTTCACATTAAACATTTAGATGACTTTGCTCGACTTGCATACAATTAAGAACAAAAAAAACAAATACTGGGCTCAAATCAACAATATTCTAAAACAAAAACAGAGAGATCTGGGAAAACTCAGCAGGTCAGGCAGCATCTATAGAGAAAGGAAAATAAGTCAACGTTTCGGGTGGATCCGAAATGTTGACTCACTTTCCTTTCTCCATAGATGCTGCCTGACCTGCTGAGGTTTCCCGGCTCTCTCTGGTTTTGTTTCAGATTTCCAGCCTCTGCAGTATTTTGTGTTTTGCAACAACATTCTAAATTTGCGATGTGTTTGGGGGGAGAAGAAGAGTTGGTTCACAACTTAGTAAAACCACAGCCTCCTATACCCAAAAATATTTATTTTCCCATCAATTTGCCTATTCTGCAATAACAATGTACAACAAAAAAGTGTCCCACTTGGGATATTTATTTGATTGTAAGATATTCTTGTACCAGGTCTTCATTATGACTTCCAATTGGAACATCAATCTATGTTAAAGTTTAAACAACATTTCCCACACTTGGCACAGAACAAGATTTTGGAGCGTCTCTGCTGGAATGAGGATCTATGCACAGTGTGAATTTGGTAACAAAAGGAACCATTCTGCCAAATATAAATTTTAATATAAACATTTTCATACCAAATTTTTTAGAACAATAAAAATATTCTCAGCTCTTAAATGCATAAAATTGTGTTGTGCATACTCTGATAAATCACACCCACAAAATCAAAAGATAACACACACCCCCACATCAACCCCAAAAATATATAATGGGATTCCACAGTCCAATTTAAAATCATTGATCAAGCTTTTCATTAATTCATTTTTTAACATACAGCATGCTCTACATATAATGCACATTTGGGTATTTGGGCCCCATTTGCAATGTAATTCCATCTTTTAAAACGAAAAGTACATGAAGATCAGTAAAGTTATTGTTTATCTATAAAACACATACTCAAAACTTTACACCTGAGTTTTGGTCCCAGTCATCAAAGTAAAATTCTGTGCATTGTAAAAAAATTACATGAGATAATTTTGTCTTACAAAATTTCACATTAGTAGAGCATTCCAAATCTTATGTATGTAGACATTTTATAATCTATAAATATGCTAATGAAATTCAATTCTTCAGAAAAAAACATAGGATCATTTTTAAGCATAAAAATCTTCAAATGTTTTAAAAATATTTCCCCTTTTCCCCCAATTACACAGGAAATGCCAACAGTATTAGAATCAGTATGTTCCACATTAAGCTTGCCTCTGGAACATCAGATCAAACACCATAATGCGATTCTGTGATTGTCAGGCAATTTTACTGACCTTTGGAGGTTAAGCATTTCTTACTCTACTTTTGATGGGAAATCCCATTATCAGCTCATAACCACTCTAGGGCAATTTACAGTGACCAGAGAATCACTCCCTCAAATCAAATGAGCAGTCAGTGACTTCAGAGCAGCTCAATGAGATTTGTAATAAGCAGCACATAGACAATGCAGCTTCACTCACAATTGTTTTCTCATTGTATGGGCATTTTAATCTGTAAATAGGGTTTCGAGAAATGCATTTAAAAATGTCCATGGTCCTCACATAACCTAAGCAGTGCACTTATTGAACGTTCTTCATGACTTTGCATCAGTGGTGCCAATTTCCATCTCAAGACTTTAGATTAACAAGGTATACAAATGGCTCAAAAAGCATTGTCGACAACTATCACTGTCAATCATTTCCCTTCAATTAACAGTTCATGCAGTGGTGGGCCATACCAATTCTTTCCAATTCCACAGATACCAATTCTTTCCCACAACTCAATCCCTGACAGGAGACTTAAGTTGAAATAGAAAAACTGCAGTTTGTATAAAATAGCTGGAAGTAGCAATCCAGAATCATCAATGCCACGTGAGCAGCAGTAAATATATATATACGCATTTCATTTTGATAGTACGCTTTCGTGAGAGAAATAAAATAGGATGGGTCATATCAGATCCAAACTATATGCATTTCTGCTTAACATAAAAATAGAAATTTCAACTAAATGTTACTATTTTTTTAAAAAACACTCATTATCTGTGCAGTTGTAATCTGATCAAGGTTTTGAAACTTCAATTATAAAGGAAAGGAATTTCCACCTTAATCCTCCAAATATAACAATTGTTTTTAATCCCAATCTTGTCTGGATTTTCCCCAAACTATTGATGGTTTTACATCCCCACATAGACATTACATGCAGTAGCAACTAGGACTTCTGTGCTCTTAGATTTTCTGTAAAAAGAGACTTAGTGGGTATCTTTCTATTCACGTATCCAGTAGTTTTACAAAACAATACAAGCGGAAATATTCTAATGCAAGACCACCCACATCCCAACCAATTTGTTTTATTCGTGTGAATCATAAACCTAAAATATATGCCATATGCATTGTAAGGCTAGCATGGTCCAGTGTAACATGTATGAAAATGAATTCCAATGCTCAAATGCATAATCTTCATCTTCCAGTTATCGATATCATCCAGTTCATTTTTCTTTCAATTCAGAATCTTTTAATCTAAATGATTCTTTCCTAAGAAATAGGTTTTATGATTTTTTCGTTGCTTGGCAAAGATTCAGGCCTGAACCTGAACCTGTAGCCATATGGTCGTAGGTGATAGGATATGTACTCCATGAAGTACATGGCTTTAGAATTAATGTAGTGAAATGAAACGCTCAGATCTGAGCAACATCCAGGACCCTGCAAAAAAGATAGAGTTTCAATCAAAAAGCGGCTCTTACAAGATTGAGGTTTACCAAATAAACCATTTAAATTGTGGTGCATTTTAATCTTGAATGAGTACATTATGGAAAATTCTTTCTCTTTAAGATCACCCATTTAAATATAAATAAATCACCAGTTTCTATTCAGATAACGATTATGATTTAGCTATGTCAGAAGACACAAGCTTGCTACAATTTCAAATTACTTCCTCTTACAAGTACATAGCTTAGTGTTACAAGTCCGAGTCAGTAACAAGCGGTGCAAGCTAAAATACATTAAGGCATTTTGTGAGCAAGAAACAAGGTGTAATATACAACATGTACAATATTCACTTGGACTGCCTGCACCAAAAACATCAAATTAATGAAGTGGAGAAAAACACACAATAATTCCAATCTCAACCACCTGTCAGAATTCCCACAGCAAATAAAGTAGCTGAACCAAAAGAAGAGACTTGTAAAGACAGGCAATGCAAGATACAGTATTCTATCAGCCTTGCCTTCATACTAGTCACCTAACCCAATGGAAGGTTTTTTCCTGCCCTTTCCTTTTAATATGTGGTCATTTAAGCCTTTCTACCTGCCTGGTCCTCGTCTCCATGTTTTTTTTTCACCTAGTAAATGTCGTTTGGAGCAGGGTGTTCCTAAAATGAGAACCAGCTGTGAAAAACCAGGGAGAAGCAAGGTTTGCCTTTTAAAAGCCTATCTTGGAATATCACTTCATCACTTTTATTATTATTTTCTTTGCACTGTTCAATCTCAGTATTATCAATCAGGTTTAACTGCAACGTGGCCCTTGAGCTTCTCAGGAGCATGAAATTGTCCTACGATTTATATTCTTTAGAACTTGTGTCAGCTTTCAACCTTTATAAGCTTAAAGAGATATCGTTTTCTTCATGTTTTGTTCACGACTGTACAATGGGAAATGAACATTGAAGAAACCTGAACAGAGAATAGTTACATGAATTATAAACAAATAAAACTATGTCTAGAAGATGAAAGGGGAGCGGAATGAAGATGAAAGCCGTTTTGTTAAGCACAAATGGCATAATTAAAACTGAATTGAACAAAGAACATTTCAAACCTTAGGCAGTATATTACACAATGGAGTTTTGACAACACACGGACAAAGGCAAACCTTACCTCGCCCTGACTTTTCACAACTGGTTAGAATCATAGAATTATAGAATATTACTGCATAGAAGGAGGCCATTCGGCCCATCCTGCCTATGCCAGCTCTTTGAAAGAGCTATCCAACTAGTACCACTCCCTCATTCTTACCCCATAACCCTGCATTTTTTTCCTTTTTAAGTACATATCCAATTCCCTTTTGAAAGCTACTATCGAAACTGCTTCCACCAATCTTTCAGGCAGTGCATTCCAGATCCTAACAACTCTCTGGATAAAAAATACTCCTTGTATCCCCTCTGGTTCTTTTGCCAATTACCTTAAATCTGTGTCCTCTGGTTTACGTGCCAGGAAACAAAACCCCAACATACTCTATCAAAACTCCTCATAATTTTGAACACCTCTATTAAATCTCCCCTTAACCTACTGTACTCTAAGGAGAACAACCCCAGGTGCTTCAAAAGACGTTTAGTAGGTGAAAAGGGAGCATAGAGACGAGGACCAGGCAGGTAGAAAGGCTTAAATGGCCACACATTTGCCTTCAAAGCCCTCCACAGCCTTGCTCCTTCCTACTTCTATGACTTTCTAACCCCATATCAACCTGTCCACTCCCTCCGCTCCACTGGGATGTCCCCCATCGGTGGTTGGTCTTTCAACCTTTCTGCTCCCACCCTTTGGAATTCTATTCCATAGACTTGTTCCCTCCCTTGTCTCCTTCAAGGCACGTCTCACGACCTTACTCTTCGACCGTGCCTTCGGCCAGCCTCCTGCCCCTACAGTCCAAACCCGAGTGTCTTGGGAAGCCCTGCCAACGTGAAGGGCGCTATACAAATGTAATTTGTTGTTGTATAAAAAGGAAAGGCAGGGAAAAGGAAAAAAAAGGTTCCATTAGGTAAGTGTCCAATTACTCTATCTGCCCATGGAATGGAGTAACACATAGATTCACATAGACCACGGAAATAGGCCATTCAGCCAACCAGTTCATGCTAGTGCTTTTACTCCACATGAATCTCCACCAACTCCTTTCTCCCTCCAATACTTTTTTTGATGTCTCCAAGCATCAATGGCTTCAGCTGTAGACTTCTTTTCAGATATGAACACGGTTCAATGTGCAGCTGTAATTTAACTATTGCAAGCTGCATACAAATAGGGTTTTACACAGGTTAGTTTTAGGCAAATTGTGCAATCGCTAATAGTTCAAGGATGAGATATACACACACACACACAGACACACAGATGACAAGCCCACAGCAGAGAGGAGTCTAGAAGTACAGTTACTTATATTTAATACATTACCTCCACAGCAGGATAGTAGCAGTACCTCCAGTACCAGAAGGTTTTAGGCAGGTAGGTTATCGTTAAATGATGCTCTGGTGGGAATGGATGAAATGTTTCTCTTTGAAGTGTATCCCTGGAATCACCAGCTTCTACTTGAACAGCCTCCATACATTTCCCAATGGCTACATCTTCAACAGATGTAAAATGCTTGCACTTCCCTGTCTTAAATGCATCCACAAATCTTTTCAATGATTCCTTGCTCAGCACATACCCAGCACCCCCACTCATGTAACCTTGTTTAACATATGGCTTAAATCTTCTTCCAAAGTAGATAGGCTGGTCAGGAGAGTACCTTGAGAGCAACCATCGCAGATTATCAACAATAGTGTATGTATCGTCGTCTGCTTTCATAAACCAATCGGCATCATCAAAGTGATGTTCATGAACATACTGAAAAGCTTTGATAGTTTTCCAGAACAGTTGGTCCCTGCCTTCTTTAACATCCAGCCCCACTGCAGGGAAATCTTTGTTTTCTTCCGAGCTCATGAAAAGCAGGATGTTACACCTTTTGCCCCAAGTGGCTTTGATGTGTGCAGCCTTTGTGGCTAGATTCTGGGGCCCTGTCATCACCCAGCACAGGATTCGCACTTTCTTATACAAATCATCAGCAACACTTTGGTTTTCATCTGGGCACATTAAGAAAAGATAAAGTTAATATTCTGTCAACAATTAAAGTATAATCTGAAGCAGCAGAGTGCAGAAGAGATTTTTTAAGTCAGCCAGGTGACTGACACAAATCACCATTCTTAAAAGTATCCAAACCAGATTTCTACATTTCCGCATATGCATAACATTTCCTTGTATTAGTTTGTGTAGCTAGGAACATTCTACTCCTAGCTTGCTAAGAGGCTTGGCTTGTAGGGTTAATAGGAACAGAGTGGGAAGAATTCCTGCTCCAGGTTGCTCCTCCAAATCCTGTCAGTGAGACAGGCAGTGGTTTGGAGTACTGTGGACCCAGTTGGCTCTGAAACAAGACTACTGAGACCGCCGCAGTAGGTTGAGTTGATTCATACGTTCCATTGCCAAGCACATCATCCTAAAGACAGCTCAATTCCAAGAGGACTCAGCTTACAAGGAGGATAATCACTAATTGCTCATTTGACATTGTATAAGCACAGGTTTGAGCCCTAACTAGATGGGTGGCAAGTACCAGGAACAACACCCATGAGCTTCCTGATAAGCAGCACAGCTCAGCAAGAATTGTATGAGAGCATTGCTATCATCTTGCTGCCACAGCTCTGACACACATCCCTACCCACTGAGCGATGGTTCAACCAGTTGTAAGTGCAGAGCTTCAGCACCAGTTGCTTCCATCTCTACATTACAATCAAGGTGGACACAAGAAGAGGTAAGGTAAAAAGATAGAGAAGATAAAATGGTTAATATTGTGTCAATAATTAAAACATAAAACATTATCTGAAACAATCTGACTACAGTATAAGATACCCACATTACAAATATACTTGAAATAACTGTTTACCCTGACACCTTCAGCTAACATACTTCTGACCTAAAGAGCACAAAACAGAGGAAGGGTAAACAACTTTACTGCAGCAAATGCAGACATTCTTAAAATATCTGTAAATGTCATTCAGGTTTCCTCCCAATTGTCCAGCTTCTCTCCTCCACACACAAGTATTTTGCACCAACTAAGAAGGAGACAATAGTCCGAATCAGTTGTTTCACTGGTTAGGACCTGTAAGATGGATTGGACCTGACTGTGCCTCGTTTCTGGATGTAGAAAGCCAACATTTGCATAACCACCACCACCAAGAACTTGCATTTATATAGCGCCCTTCATGTCTGGTAGCGTCTCGGGAGCACTAAACAAGTGGTGGAATCTGGCAACGAGCCGGGGTAGAGGGAGGGGGAGGTGACCGTAAGCTCAATCAAAAAGGAAGGTTTTTGGCAGAAATTCAAAGGTGTGGAGTGGTTGAGGGAGTGTTCCGGAGTTTCGGGGCATAGTGGCTGAAGGCATGGCCACCTGTTGAAGTGCAGACAGTACACATAATGTGAGCCAAGTTTCAGTTACCTTCAACACTGAATTATTCAAAATCAAACTAATCAGCTTTGGTTCTGCCCAGGTATTTCATGCTGCAGAGTGAACAGTGCAGTTATGCTCTAATGCACAACTCAGCACTACCTGGACACGTAAATTTGAGTTAAAAGGAAGTGGAGGCAATTTGTCTGTGGCAGATTGCCAGTGTAAATAAATGCTTGTTTAGGAGTAGAAGATCACGTATCAATTACTGTTTCTGGAAGATTCTATAGAAAAGGATGACATGGATCAGAGATCAGAGGTTCCTTTTTCAATCTGATTATATCGGATCATTTCACTGAGACTCAAATGTGAACTGTCTGTCACAATTGTCGACCGTACGGGTAGAAAGTACCCTCCTCAATTAAAAAAGACAAAGTGAAATTCTTCAATGTATGTAAAATCAATGCACTGTAAACAGTTGCAGTTTTAAACTAACCGCAACAACAACAACTTAGATTTATGTAGTGCCCTCCACGCCAGACGGTGTCTCAGAGCGCTTCACAGTAACGGATCCTGGTTAACAAATGGATTTTGTTGGAAATCTCCTCCCTCACATATAAAAATAAATTTTAATATTGTATCATGGATAGGTAAAGAGTAGACACCTTCACCAGTTCTAGGATGCTACCCTACACGAGGGGTGCTTTATAAATGTAAGTTGTTGTTATAATTGTAGAGACAGGGAGGCAGACTGATCGTTTTCTCCACTAATATAAGGATTGTGAAGGCAAGCTTTAAGGTACTGATTTCCTTGTGATTCTCATTTTTTAAAATTGTTTATCCGCCACACAGGATATGTTTTCCAAATTGGTGGGGGAGGGAGGAAATCTGTCACTGACCCTACAAAGCTTTGTTTGTGGTTGCTACACAAGATATGCCATTCCTTCTCCCACCTTCACCTATACTGGTATATTGAACCTCAGAGCAGCTGCCTTCTTCAGTTTTATGAGAAAATGACAGCAATTATGCACGTAAAGATTGTCCAAGGACAAAAGATAGAACAATTTTAAGTGAAGAATGAATATTCTTTTAAGAATAAGGATCGTGAGAAAGGTAACCCAACATTTGTCCTACCACAATACATACAAAGTATTTTCAGTAACAGAAAACGTGATCAACTGTGGCTCATGGCCACTTTAAAACACAGAGTACCACAGCTCTTGATGCTCAGATTAATGCAATAATATTTAGTGAAAGGATCCGGTCACACTATCTAACTTCTGGAGTATACAGGAACCATATATTCTGTTAAGAGGGTGGAGCATCTGAGCTTGAGACTAATCTTTGTCTAGTCATCTGAAACAAACCTCCTCAGAAATTGATTCTACGATTCCAGTTATTATTTCTCCAGATTGAAGAATCTCATGCACAGAATATTGAGGTGCTTCTGCACTGCACTCTGATTTTCCTGTGTTCCCTTTGAAAAATGTGCAATCACCCTGAAGTACAGAAATCCTAGGAAAGCCATGTATTCTTCCACCATTGAGAAACCTTTGGAATATTTTAGTGTTGACACGAGCTGAGGGAACACTGAACTATATAAAACTAAACTATTCTTTAATTTAGTGCCTTATCATGCTGAAATTTCTCAAAGTGTTTCACAAAACTAGTAGTTTTTTTGACTTGCAGTACTGTTAAGTATGCCAGCACAGCGGCTAATCTCCACCGCCTCCCTAATTGACCTGGGAGCTATGTGTCTGATACTGAGAAATTAATACGAATATGAAAATAGCAGTGCTCAACCTACACTCCTTGTGGAATCCTGCATTATATTGGTTAGAGCACTCATCTCACACTTCAAAGGGTTTGATTCCCAATCTAGTGTTGCATATAGTCCTCAAAGCCACAAACAGGAGATAGCATTTCAACGTGGTGCACTGGATGCGGCTGGGGGGATCAACTATTTCCAAAAATGATGTAACACTCATCGGAACAATCTAGAAACAAAATTACATTTAGAAAATAATCTATATTTATCCAAGCATGACTAGAATATTTTGCTGGCTTCCAATGGAATGATTAACCAACGGGAACAGGTACGGTGGGAAAGCAATAATAAAAATAATCCATGCATTTGATATTGTGTATTGTCATGTAATCAAGATATCTCAAAGCACTTCACATGATTTTTTATGTGAAGTATAATAACTGTTCATTTGTAGGTGAACAAAGCAGCCATTTTGCACATAGCAATGTCCCACAAATAGCCATGAATTGAGTGGTGAATTTTATTTGGGAGATTTGTGACTAGGACATTGAGAGAAACTCTATTAATTTTTTTTGACTTGTACCAACATCCACCTGAACAGGCAGACAGGGTCTCGGTTTAACATCTCATTCGAAACACCGTATTTCTAACAATGCAGCACAGACCCCCAGCATTGTATTGGAGTGTCATCTTAGACTGCAAGTTCAAAGTTCCGAGATTAAAAGGGCAATATTGAGCCAAATTATTGGGGTAATCCTCCCACTTTATAAATCACTGGCACGACTGTATTTGGAATATTGTGTGTAGTTCTGTTCACCGCATTCCCTGCTGGTCCTGGCCTGACACAGCTCATGCCCTTTAACTTTGGAGTGATTGCATATGATCCCGGTTGCCCCCTTCACTAGCATTGGAGCTGAACACCAAATTTCAGATCCTTGTTCTTACTTCAAATGGAGTTGGGGAGGGTGAGAAGAGGAGAGTTAAGAGGAGGTCTTGCCCCACCCTACATCTGCAAACCCCTGAGACCCTTATCCCCCAGCCACTCCCTCCACTCTGGTCTGCTTCATGCCCCCGCCACTCCACCTCATCATCGCCAGGCAAGATTTCAACCATTTTTCCCCATCACCTTCTGGAACTCGCTTCTGAAGTCACTTTGCCTCAAGCTTTCTCCCCCCCCCCACCCCATCTCAGACTCCCACTCATCTCTGTCAAGTACTTTGAGATGCTCTACTTCATAAAAGGCAAAATTTTCAATGTAAGTTGTTGTTGAGGAAACAATTGCAGCATCTCACTTCTTTAAATTGCCAGCAAAACATTTGTATTTTTCCTCTTCAACTGTGCTTACGTTCACCTTCCCCCGCCACCCCCACACCCCGGCTCAGAGTTAGGCTCCACCACTCTTAAGCACTCTGAGACACTGGCCTGCTTGGAGGGCGCTATATAAGTGCAATTTGTTGTTGTTATTGTATTTAACTGCTTATGGGCTAATACCACTGAATGAGTCCTGTCTGAATCTCAGTGTAGTGATCAAGCACAACAAAGCAGCTATAATATGGTATTTGTGTGCACTAACTAATTAAGAAGTGTATAAAGCAGCACTGGCGCCTATGCAGTCTTCACAGATCTTATAGAGGAGCTCGACAGACTGAGTTGACCAGGTTTCTGGAAATTTACAGTTATGTTCAGCCATCTGGAGACCTTCATAAATATTTTAAGAAAGTAGAATGGCACTATAGTATTCAGAGAGATTGCCTAGATTGGCGGCGGTCTCAACTGTTCAGCATTTCCAAATGAGTCAAGCAAGGTTTCATCTTGGCACTGAGTCTTTTTGGCTTGCTTTTCAGCAGTGCTGGAGGAAGTAACCAGACCTACCAGAGAGTGTGTGTGTGTGTGTGTGTAAGAGTTTCCAAAATGGTAAATTATTCAACATTGTGATTACGATCGACAAAGGAGTTAGAAGCATTCACACAGAAACTCGAGTTTACTGATAGCTTAGCCATCAGGACCTCTATTGAAACTGATTTCCAGAGGAATACTGACAGATTTTTGTAGTCTGACTGTTAGCTTAGTGAAGTGTACCATCCATCTCCTTACATTCAGCCAGCTCTCTATATCAAAGGAGACACCAGGAGACTCATCAAACAAATGACCTACCCTGGCAGAGGACTATAAAACAACACATTGTTTCAACCAGTGGGTATTGAACTGAATGAGGAAAGTAAGCTCAGCACTGATAATATATAATATTATATATAATGTGGATGATAATATATAATATTATATATAATGTGGATGCAGCAGAGTTTGTTGCAGATTACGATAATGTGCAGTAATAATCTCCAACCTACTCTACAGAGCAAAAAAAAGGACCTGGGTTGTACAACAGAAAGATTTTTTAGCACTGTACCATCTTGAAATGCCTTAAGATGGTAATTACTGTGTAAGTAGTTGCTGTCAAGTGCGGTGACCANTTTTTGGCAAACACAACAGCAATTTGTGCCAGCAATGACTAATGTATGACCATAGATGAATGAATAACCAAACAACCTGGACGACTATTAGCAAGGACGCTAGGAGAAAATGCCTCGTCTTTTTAAATGGCATTCAAGAAGCAGACAAGACCTCGGTTTAACATTGGCTGAAAGGTCATATCTCCAGCAATGCAAAGCTCCTCCAATGCTACACTGGAGTATCAGCCTGGACTGTGAGCTAAAGCTTGATGTGAGGCTTGGACTGTGAGCTAAAGCCTGGTGTGAGACTTGAACCTTCTTACTCAGAGGTGAAGATTCTTACCAACAGAGCCAGGTTGACACATAAGACGGCACACTTAGACTAAATTGAGTAAACTATCCATGATCTTAGTATCATACATTATACAGTTTTTCCATAGTATTATATAAGATTTGAAAGATACCTTTATGCTGACTGAGGTCAGCATCAAAATTCATCTCTCCATGAAGATCGTGATGATTGTCTTCTAAATGGCCGTGGGGGTCATTGTAGACCAGGTGACTGTGCTGGGGAGGTTTCATATTTATTAAACTAATAGCCAGATGACAGAAGACAAAACCTATTCCCAGTCCACAAACAAACAGGAGCAGAGAAGTCAGAGATCTCGGCAGTGCCATTCCCATGGAGCAGTATGCTAGGGAAATGGAGAACACAAACGTATTATGATAGCAGACTATTGATACCAACATGGAGGATTGACTCAATTCTGACATTCCATTATCAAGCATATCACCTTGGAGCTAGTTCAGGTCCAAGAAGACCCCACTTCCCTTCCTCTCCAAGGATAGTCTACAATACAAGGTGCCCATTGGGACATGCCTTCGTTCAGCACAGGACACTAAATCAACTATGAATCTATGCTATGCAGCAAATGCAGTAAACCCAGCTTCTAGTGCTGCCTAGACAGCTTCTTGACCTAAAAATAGCCATGAGTTTCCACTTATAATAATAATAATCCTTGCATTTGATATAGCGCTTTTCACGTCTTCTCGACGTCTCAAAGCACTTCACAGAATAGACTGTAAAGTGAATTGATCATATATTTGTGAGCGAAACGCAGGAGCCAATTGCGCACAGCAGTGTCCCACAAACAGTCTTGGATTGAAAATGACCAATTTATTATTGTTTTGTTTTGGAGGGATTATTATTAGGCGTGTGGAGTAAGGAAACTTGGCCAAGGTTTCGCCCTGCAAGGACTCAAACCCAGGTGTCTCGCTTGCAAGGCAAGCGTTCTAACCACTGAGCTACAGGACTCCACTTCCTGCACATGTGCAGGAATGTCATTAATGCTGTTAATGTTGCTTCCTGTGGGATGTATACATACACTACGCATAGGAAGCACCACTAACATCACTTCCTGCATATGAGTGCTACACAAGAAACACAGCTGTCATTTTGTGATGGAAGTGATGTGCAGAACCCAGGAAGTAACAACAGCAACAATCTGGCAACCCAGGTGAAGGACCAACAGACATTTTTTTCTCCACAGATAACACAATGTGTAATCCCATGGCTCTGAGATACTGGATTATAACAAGGTTGTCCTGTAATGTATTTTCAAACCACAAAGTAAAGAGTTGCATTGACGTAGTACCTCAGTATGTGGCCCACACAGCAAAAGTCACTTTCTTGGCAGATGTGCCTTCCTTTTCTTTTCTTTCAAAATTCTGTTCCACTTCATTCAGCCAAAAGTTACCTAAATAGCAAAACATAAGCAGCATTTTACTTATGAATAACTTATTGTATTTGAATGAATTTTTAAATGTTTAACAAAGCACAAAGCAAACCAAAGCAATGTCATCTGGTGAAACACTGAACAGGCCTCGTGAATTTCAGTTTTGTGTAGTAAACTTGCTGGCCGGTTCACCTCTCATAAAAATCATGATCATTAAATTCGATACATTACCTTTCATTTTGGGAGGACATCCCATTGTGCTTCACAGTATTTAATGTAAAGTGTGTAACTGTATATTTTGTAAGCAAATGTGACAGGCAATTTGTGCACACAGCAATGTCCCACAAACAGCTATGAAGTGAGTGACCAATTCTGTTAAGGGAATTGTTAGCCAGGACACCAGGAGAAGCTCCCTTCTCTTTTCGAAGAGTGCCATAGGATTGTTAGTATCCACAACAGAACATCCTCAGCACTGTAGTTGAGTGTCAGCCTAGACTATATGAGTTCAAGGTCCCAGTCAAAGTCAGCCTTCAAATTTTGATGCTCACCATGACAGTAAACTTTAAAGATTCATAGTTTGAAGTAACTAATCAATCAATGTTAAAACATTTCTAACTATGATCTTGGTAGGAAGTTTAAAATGATAATCCTTGAATTTGATATAGCATCTTATGTCATTGAAATGTCTCAAAGTGCTTCACAGGATTTTACTGTAAAATGTAGCAACTGTATTTGTTTAACATGAGAGAACAGCCAAAAAAATTCCACTTATTGTTTTTCAAAAAACCTTAAAAAAAATCCATTCATTCAATCTACGACTGTTTGTGGGACTCTGCTGTTTGCAATTGGCTAACTGTGTTTCGCCCACAAAATACACAGTCAATTCATTATACAAGGTATCGTGTGAAGCGCTTTGAAATGTCTCAATGACGTGATAAGGCTAAACATCAAATGCAAGGATTATTATTGTTATCATTTTCAACCGGAGCTCCTAACGAATTTCTTCATCAACAACAACTTGCATTTATATAGCAGCCTTCACACGTGCCAGCATCTCGGGGCGCTTAATCTGCTTGTATTGGCCTGATATTCACATCAATGACAATCAGACCAATTAATCCAAGGTTTGAAAGAAACTGTTTACACAACAGCAACTAATTTCTTTTTTCAGGCTCTAATCTCAGCAGCAAATAGGGCCAAAATTTGAAGTCAAAAAGTGAAATGGATTACAAACCTGGAAGAATAATAATCTTTCACCTCTACGATTCTTTCAGGTTTCCAGACAGACTGATGGAGTGATAGCCTCTTACCTTTGCTGGCTGAAAATTGTCCCTAAATGGGTCCAGAGAGTCTGAGTCCACATCCTAATGGGTGTTGGCCCTTAGCACAAAACCAACAACAAATTGGCAAATTCATGCGTAAACAAACACAGATGGCGACTGTGGGATTGGAATAATGTAATTCCACCTAACGCAATAATTAACCTCTTCTAGGGTTATGGCAGGGCTCACTCGGGAGTGGAGGAGCTTTATTCTTCACTGTTTTCCTACAAATACAGTCTTTACACTTTACAGTAAAATCGCTGAGATATTGTGATAGTGTGATGAAACATGATTTCAAATATAAAGGATCAACTCCTGACCTGGCTGTGCTCATTGCTAGCAATGCATTTCCAAAATGATTCCTCTCCCTCCCTATTAATATAACCCTGGTGATAAGTAAAATCCATTCTTACATGATTCATCTATAATTTATATTTTTATACATAGGGCAATGTTGTAATAGTGCGATAGACATGGTCCAATATCTCAGAGGCCTGTTAGCAACAAGCTCAAAAAAAGAGCAACTTTTAGGCGATCGGTTCATTGCTGACATCACTTCCTGCACGTTGTGTGCAGGAGCTTTGCACAGCAAACACCCATTAAGTCATTTTATTGCAGATCTGCTTATACGGTGGATTTGCACTATAACAATAATCCTTACTTTTGATATGACGCCTTATCACACCGTTGAGACATCTCAAAGCCCTTCACAGAATATACTGTAAAGTGAATTGACTGTATATTTTGTGGGTGAAACTTGGCAGCTAATTGTGCACACAGCAGTGTCCCACAAACAGTTGTGGATTGAGTGTCTCATTTTTTTTGAGGGATTATTACTTCCGGAAAGCGATTCACCAATCGTCCGATAACCAGGTTCCTACTTACTTCTAGGTAAACAGAGGCAAATCTGGAAAAAGGAAATTTGCCTCAGGTTTCACCCCTCCTGGGAATCGAAACCGGATCCTCTAACTTGAGAGGCAAGCGAGCTAACTACTACTCTACGGACACCATAGCATAGTCCTGATTGAAAATAAATTGAAGCTCTCCCAACAATGCTCAGTGGCAGTGAGTAAAGCAAGTCCTGGATGAGAGCTCACTTTTTTCAGTTGAATATCAACAAGACCGAGGCTCTCCTGATTGACTCCCATCAGCGCCTCCTCATCTCGGGCGCTGACAGCATCACCATCCATGGTTGCACACTCCACCTTACTAAGCCAGTCTGGAACCTTGGGGTCTTGTTTGACCCTCAACTATCCTTTTTACACCACATCCGTGCCATGACCCGCTCTGCCTTCCCGCACCTCCGCAATGTCGCCCGGCTCCGACACTGTCTCACACCGCAGGCCACCGAAACCCTCATACACGCCTTCATTACATCAAGGTTCCACTACGCAAACTCATTGCTTGTCGGCCTCCCCAACTCCTCCCTCCACAGGCTGCAGAACATCCAGAACTCTGCAGCCCGTGTCCTCTCCTGCACCAGGCTCCGTGACCCTATCTCCCCCATCCTCGCCGAACTCCACTGGCTTCCCATCACACAGAGGATACAGTTCAAGATCCTGGTCCTCACCTTCAAAGCCCTCCACGGTCTTGCTCCCCCCTACCTCTCCGACCTCCTAACTCCTTAGGATCCTGTTCACTCCCTCCGCTCAGCGGGCCCCAGGCTACTTCACGTCCCCCGCCTCGCTCGCCCTTCCACCACTCTGGACCCACACTCTGGAACTCGATCACACAGTCCCTCCACCTCGCCCCCTCCCTCGCCACCTTCAAGACCGACCCATCTCAAGACCCTCCTCTTCGACCGTGCTTTCAATCTCCTGCTTCACCCCCTGCCCTCCACTCTCCCCGACCCTGAACTCGGGTCCGTAACTCTGTCCAGTGCCTTGGGGCGTCCTCCCGACGTGAAAGGCGCTTTACAAATGTAATTTTGTAGTTATTGTTGTTGGAATGTATCAAAAGGTCAAACAGGATACAAACAGGATATTGGAGAAATCAAGAAGATACAGAGGAGGGCAACCAAAAGGATTGAGGGAATGGAGGGACTGGACTATGAGGAGTGACTAAGTAAAAGTGGTCATGTTCACGCTGGAAAAGAAAAGATTGAGAGGTGACATGATTGCTGTCTTTAAGATTCTAAAGGGGCAAAACAATATAGATCATGACACACTGTTTCAACCTGTGGACAGGCTCCCTAGGGAGATGGTTGAAGTAGGAAGTGTTGATTCTTTCGAACACAGATTGGATAGTTTTCTTTCAGGAAATAACATTATGGGATATAGTACATAGGTAGTTTTTTGTGTTACAGGTGTGGGTTTTTTCCATGAGGCAAGTGGAATTTTTTTTACAATAACTAATATATTTGCTTGAAAAAAATAGGATGGAGTGATCGTGGATCAGAGCAGAATTGAAGCAGGTTTGCGAAAAAAAATTGTCACGGGTGTGGGTTTTCATGAGGAAAGGGAAATATATATTTTATATATATTTTTATATTTTATGATAAATATATTTGTTTAAAAAATGGTCTACACCTATCTCCAGAGCTAACAACAGGTTTAGTGGCCGGCTGCATCGAGTCCTAGGTCCTCTCAGGGTTCTTTATCTTTCTCCAGTAATCTCCAGATCACCTTCCTGTGACAGACTGTGCAGCCAAGTACAGAGCTTGCCTGAATTCAGCTAAGGTCTGCAGACTTCCAGAAAACTGCTTGCACTGGAAACTCCCAACAAGGAAGCTATATTTGCACATGCGGAGTAGCTTACTTGCACATGGGTCTCAGTGACTTGAATTAAGTGCTACAGCAGCAGGGTTGCAGCAAGAAACAACACCCACCACCTTGCATTTATATGGCACCCTTTACGCGGGCAGTGTCTCGGAGAGCTTGAACAACGTCAGAAATCTCTGGCTTTTTGAGAACGTATTCTGCAATCTCTTGGATTACTAATGAGGAGTAATAATAACAAATAATAATAATCCTTGCATTTGATATAGCGCTTTTCACGTCTTCTAGACGTCTCAAAGCGCTTCACAGAATATACTGTAAAGTGAATTGACTGAATATTTTGTGGTTGAAATTGGCAGCCAATTGTGCGCAGCAGTGTCCAACAAACAGTCGTGGATTAAACTGACCAATTTATTATTTTTTTTAGGGATTATTATTAGGCGTGCGGCATAAGGAAACTTGCCCAACCTGCCCAACCTGCCGGAAATCGAACCCAGGTCTCTTCACGTGCAAAGCGAGTGCTCTAATAATAATAATAATCCTTGCATTTGATATAGCGCTTTTCACGTCGGGAGGACGTCCCAAAGCGCTTCACAGAATATACTGTAAAGTGAATTGACTGTATATTTGTGGGCGAACGCGGCAGCCAATTGCGCACAGCAATGTCCCACAAACAGTCGTAGATTGAAAATGACCAATTTATTATTGTTTTGGGTCTTTTGGAGGGATTATTATTAGGCGTGTGGAGTAAGGAAACTTGCCCAAGGTTTCGCCCTCTGCCTGGAATTGAACTCAGGTCTCTCACTTGCAAAGCGAGTGCTCTAACCACTGAGCTACAGGACTCTCTACCTGACCATCCGAAAGGACCAAAAGCCTTTTTTTTTGGGGGGGGGGGGGGGACTCCTTTGTAAACAAGATGTTTGGAGCAGCCGATGGACCAAACCAGATGGATTCTTGCACTGTTACCAACCAGAGCATGAGAGGTGGGCAGCTTTTTGGCAAATGGTACCGATTCCCCAGTTTGCTGTGGCCTTATACCGGAGAGAGGGAAATCATTTTCGGTTTCATTTGAATGCAAATAAGCCAGAAGGTGTGTGTGGGCTCACGGTAAGAAAACGCAATACAAAGTAGCACAGTCTGCATTCAGTCCAGGAGGTGCAGAGAGGGGAAAGCCTGGCATTGCATCCCAACCCTGGGGGAAGGCCTAGCGTTAGTGCTGGAGCAGGCGGCTCAGGGGAGGGGGGGAGGCGTTTAATGGGTTAACAGTCAATTAATGAACCCCCCAAAAAAAAACACACACACACACACACCCCAGACACACCATGTGAAAAGGCACCGACGCAGTGAGAGCCCCGACAGCTCTGCACAGTGAGGAGAGGAGGCAGCAGCCACATCCCCATCACTCACTCACTCACTCACTCACTTCCTCGTCACTGACACTAACTTTTTATTTGGGGGATATAACCCCCTCTCTCCCTCCCTCCCTCCCCCCCACACACCCCACACGGAAAATATAAAACACAAAGTCAACCAAAGAAAAAAATCTCCATCCCCGACTGTGTCCCGGTTTTTACCCCCCACTCCTCCCCCCATCACACACTCACACACACTCACACACACACACTCAGCCTCCCACTGGGTGCACAGTCAGTCACACTGTACCTGGAGCTGGTGCTGTGTGTGTGTGAGAGAGTGAGTGAGTGCGGCCACTGTATCTACACACATCTCCACAATCCTCCCTCACGTCTCTTGGCTGAGCTGCTGTGCTGTGCAGTGCAGTGCAGTCCTCCCCTCCACTCCCCTCCACTCCACTCCCCGCCCCTCAGTTGGGCTTCAGCGGCGGTCACTGTACCGCGACCAGTGTTTGATCTTCACTCCAACCCTTCAGCTGACAACATATCCGCTCCAAGCGGATACATCCTGCACCCACAGCCCCCCCCCCACAGCCCCCCCCCTCACACACACACACAGCCCCCCCCACCACACAGCCCAGCCCCCCCCACAGCCCAGCCCAGCACCCCCCCCCCCCACACAGCCCCCCCACACCACCCACAGCCCCCCCCACACAGCCCCCCCCCCCTCACACACACCCACAGCCCCCCCCCACACAGCCCCCCCCCCCCCACACAGCCCCCCCCCCCTCACACAGCCCAACCCCCCCCCTCACAGCCCAACCCCCCCCCCACACACACCCACAGCCCCCCCCCACACAGCCCCCCCCCCCACACCACAGCCCCCCCCCACACACACACACAGCCCCCCCCCCCACCACACACAGCCCCCCCCACCACAGCCCCCCCCCCACACAGCCCCCCCCCCACACACACACAGCCCCCCCCCACACACAGCCCAGCCCCACCCTCACACACACACACAGCCCCCCCCACACACACAGCCCCCCCCCCCACCACACACAGCCCCCCCCCCACACACACAGCCCAGCCCCCCTCACACACAGCCCCCCCCCCCTCACACACAGCCCCCCCCCACACAGCCCAGCCCCCCCTCACACACAGCCCCCCCCCCTCACACACAGCCCCCCCCACACAGCCCAGCCCCACACACAGCCCCCCCCCTCACACAGCCCCCCCCCACACAGCCCCCCCCACACAGCCCAACCCCCCCACACCACACACAGCCCCCCCACAGCCCAGCCCAGCACCCCCCCCCCACAGCCCCCCCCCCTCACAGCCCCCCCCTCACACACAGCCCCCCCCACACACAGCCCAGCCCCCACACAGCCCCCCCACCACACAGCCCCCCCTCACACACAGCCCCCCCCACACAGCCCCCCCTCACACAGCCCCCCCACACAGCCCAACCCCCCCCCCACACACACACACACACCCCCCCCCACACACACACACAGCCCCCCCCACACACACACACACAGCCCAGCCCTTCACACACACAGCCCGCACAGCACAGCACAGCCAGCACACACAGCCAGCCCAGCCCCCCCACAGCCCAGCCCAGCCCCCCCCCTCACACACAGCCCCCCCCCACACAGCCCAGCCCCCCCACACAGCCCAGCCCCCCCACACAGCCCAGCCCCCCCTCACACACAGCCCCCCCCCACACACACAGCCCAGCCCCCCCACACACACACAGCCCCCCCCACACACACACAGCCCAGCCCCCCCCACACACACAGCCCAACCCCCACACACACACACACAGCCCCCCACACACACACACACAGCCCACATACACACATACACACAGCCCAGCCCTTCACACACACAGTCCAGCCAGCACAGCACACACAGCCCGCACAGCCAGCACAGCACAGCACACACAGCCCGCACAGCACAGCCAGCCCAGCACACACAGCACAGCCAGCCCAGCACACACAGCCCGCACAGCACACCCAGCCCAGCACACACAGCACAGCCAGCCCAGCACACACAGCCCGCACAGCCAGCACAGCACAGCACACACAGCCCGCACAGCACAGCCAGCCCAGCACACACAGCCCGCACAGCACAGCCAGCCCAGCACACACAGCCCGCACAGCACAGCCAGCCCAGCACACACAGCCCGCACAGCACAGCCAGCCCAGCACACACAGCCCGCACAGCACACCCAGCCCAGCACACACAGCCCGCACAGCGCAGCCAGCCCAGCACACACAGCCCACACAGCACAGCCAGCCCAGCACACACAGCACAGCCAGCCCAGCACACACAGCCCGCACAGCACAGCCAGCCCAGCACACACAGCCCGCACAGCACAGCCAGCCCAGCACACACAGCCCGCACAGCACAGCCAGCCCAGCACACACAGCCCGCACAGCACAGCCAGCCCAGCACACACAGCCCGCACAGCACAGCCAGCCCAGCACACACAGCCCGCACAGCACACCCAGCCCAGCACACACAGCCCGCACAGCGCAGCCAGCCCAGCACACACAGCCCACACAGCACAGCCAGCCCAGCACACACAGCCCGCACAGCGCAGCCAGCCCAGCACACACAGCCCGCCCAGCACACACAGCCCGCCCAGCACAGCCAGCACAGCATACACAGCCGCCCAGCACAGCCAGCACAGCCAGCCCAGCACAGCACACATAGCACAGCCAGCACACACAGCACAGCCAGCCCAGCACAGCACAGCACAGCCAGCCCAGCACACACAGCACAACCAGCCCAGCACACACAGCCCGCCCAGCACAGCACAGCCAGCCCAGCACAGCACACATAGCACAACCAGCCCAGCACACACAGCCCGCCCAGCACACACAGTACAGCCAGCCCAGCACACTCAGTCCACCCAGCACAGCACAGCCCACCCTGCACAGCACAGCACAGGGAGCAGGCAGAATGGTGGGGGGTTAGGAGGTTGCAGAGGTAGGGCTTTGAAGGTGAGGACCAGGATCTTGAACTTTATTCTCCATGTGATGGGAAGCCAGTGGAGTCGGGTGAGGATGAGGTTGATAGGGACATGGAGCCTGGTGTGGGAGAGGACATGGGCTGCAGAGTTCTAGATGATCTGCAGCCTATGTAGGGAGGAGTTGGGGAGGCCGACAAGCAAGGAGATTTGCATACAACAACAACAACAAGATTGCATTTACAGAGCGCCTTTCACGTCAGGAGGGCGTCCCAAGGCGCTGGACAGTTGGGTTGGGACCCGAGCAGGGGGGGAAATAGTCAGGGTGAGGGGAGGGAAGGGAGGGAGCGAGGAGCGTGGAGAGAGTCGAGAAGGGAGGTGAAGGCACGTTCAAGAGAAAGGTTTTGAGACCGGCCTTGAAGGAGGAAAGGGAAGAGGCCGCGAAGGCACTGGGGGATAGAGTTCCAGAGCCTCGGGGCTGAGAGGCTGAAAGCCCGGCCACCGATGGTAGGGCGGTTGGGGCGGGGGATGTGGAGCAGACCAGAGCCAGAGGAACGGAGGGTACGGGCAGGTAAGAGGGGGATAGTAGGTCGGAGAGGTAGGAGGGAGCAAGGCCGTGAATGGCCTTGTAGGTGAGGATGAGGATCTTAAATTCGATCCTCTGGGGGATGGGGAGCCAGTGGAGGCGAGCGAGGGTGGGAGTGATGTGGGAGGCATAGTCAAGCCTCGATGTTATGAATGCGTGTATGAGGGTTTGGGTGCCCTGCAGCGTGAGACAGTGGTAGAGCCGAGCGATGTTGCAGAGTTGGGGGAAGGCAGAGCGGTCATGGTATGGATGTGGGGTAGAAACAATAGTTTGACAATAGTTGTCAAACAAGATGTCAAGTTCCAGATTGGCTTAGCAAGGTGGAGTGTGCAACCATGTGCTGTCAGCACCTGAGGTGTAGTGGTGCTGTCGGGAGCCAATCAGGAGAGCTCGATCTTGTTGACCTTCAGCTAAAGAAAGTTAGCTCTCATCTAGGACTTGATGTCTGACAGACATTCTGTCAGAACAGCAATGGTCTTGGAGTCCAGGGTGGAGACAGAGAGATACAGTTGGGTGTCATCCGCACACGTGTGGAAGTTGACCCCATGTCTGCGGATGATGATACCAAGACGGAGCATGTAGATATTGAAGAGAAGGGGACCACGGACAGAGCCCTGAGAAACTCCACACGAAACAGTGCGGGGACTAGAGGAGAAGCTGTTTGTGGAGATGAAGTGGAGGCGGTGTGACAGGTCTGTGTGCCTTCCCCCAACTCTGTGTGACAGATCTAAACCAGTCAAGGACAGAACCATGAGGGTTGAGGTGAGAGGAGAGGTGGTGGATGAGGATAGAGTGGTCAAGGTGAGGGTGAGGACCAGGATCGAAGGCAGCAGAGAGGTCAAGGAGGATGAGGAGGCAGAGATTGCAGGTGGACAGAATGTCATTTGTCACTTTGACCAGGGCTGTTTCTGTGCTGTGGATGGCATGGAAACCCGATTGGGGGAGTTTGTGAAGGGAGTGACGGGAGAGGAAGTAGCGAAACAACAACTCATTCCAGGAACTTGGGAAGGAAAGGGAAGTTGGAGATGGGGCGGTAGTTTGAGAGCAGGAATGGGTCCAGCGGGGGATTTTGAGGATAAGAGTGATGATGGCTATTTTTAAAGGGGTGGGAACGGTACCAGTGGACAGGGAAAGCTTTATGATGTCGGTGAGTAGAGGGGCAGGGAGGTGGAGCTGTGAGGTAAGGAGAGGGGTAGGGATGGGGTAGATGCACAGTGATTTACACACACTGAGTGACATACACACACAGTGCACACACACACAATGACATACACAGGAAAACACATACAATATATACACACACACACAATATATACACACCCACACTTTGTTAAAGGTGGATGTTAAAGATCCCATAGCTTATTACTACTAATAATAATCCTTGCGTTTGATACAGCTAGAACCTTATCACATCATCAAGTATTCTCATAGCACTTCACAAGATATACTGTGAAGTGGATTGATTGTATATTTTGTGGGCGAGACACAGCAGCCAGTTTGCGCAGAGCAATGTCCCACAAACAGCCATGGAGTGAGTGAACAATTTTATTTGGGGGATTTTTGGGCCAGGGAGAAAACACCCTGAGAAACTTCCTTCTCTTTGTGATTAGTGCCATGGAATCCACCTGAACAGGCAAGACAGGGCACAATTTTATAATTTCATTCGAAGGACGTCATCTTCAACAATGCAACACACCACTGCATTAGAGTGTCACCTTGGACTATGTGAGTCCAAGTCCCGACATGGGGCTAGACCCCACTACCTTCTGATTCTGAGGTGAGAGCGCTACCACTGCCCCAGGCTGATACACACAACGAGAATGGAGTTTTCTCTTGGCCATCTGTCTGCTAAATAAAATTGGTCATTTTCATGGCCATTTATGGGACATTGCTGTGCACAATTCGGCTGCTAAGTTTCTCTACCAATACAGTCACTTCATTTCACAGTAAATCTTGTGAAGCTATCTGAGACATCCTCCCTATGTGAAAGGAGCTACACATAAGAGTTATACAGTATATAGAGT